CCATCACCGTAATTCCTATCGTTATCGCTAATCTTATTAGCAAAACTCATTTTCGAAACACAAAATATGTCTTTCTAAAACACAACCGAAACACAACCCAACAATTTCATTCTAACCTAAATCAAATTCACTCATCCCGAGTCCACTTACCTCCCTTTACTTTAAACAGTCCAGAACTAATTCGCTAAAATGCAGCAATTCACAGCATACATTTACACTGAATTCTCAAACTACTCTCACACCATATGAACACAAATAAGATTCCACATCCAACATGCATAATGAATTTCATAAATAATCATTAAATGCATCTGCTCTCCTCGCTTCTGTTCACCAATACAATAATAACGATTCAAATTCAGCACCAATTACAGTAACAATAACAATAATAATCATGTGCTTTGAATATAATTGAACAGAATAAATGTCTGATAGTGAATAAGTCTGAATTCTAAAAAAATAAATGCATACATGAATAAACCTAAAAATATACTCATCCCATGCATCAGTTTCATATTTCAATAATAAACCTGTTGTGCATACATGAATAATAAATGATACTAATAATGATACTGTCAATAGTAATAACCGCTGAACAGATAACATGCTTACTTTCGGGTGATTTCATATATTCAGTCAATTATCAAATGATATTTACTTTATCATAAAGGAATTCTACATCATCTATGCATATTTTTTTCAATTTTATTGAATTCAGACAAAGTGAATATAAATGATGAATGATAATAATGAATTTATAGTCAGTACATACGCATTATAACATCCACACTAATCATGAATAAATCCAACTGACTGCATAGCATCATCGAATATCACGTATATTGCATAGATCAATACAAACGAATGTTACTAAGAAATGAAATATAAGTAATATAATAGAAAAATAATCAAACAATACGCTATTGTAATCACCTCCTCAGTTTCGATATTGATCACTACAAACTGGTCGCTGACAATCAATAGTCATGTTGAAGACAGCATTTTTTCATATCTGTGAGAAGTGATCACAAACTGACTTGAATACATAATATCTTATGAGTCATATCAGGACGAATCAACAAAAATTACTGATTCAGTGTTTTTTGGTATTAATNATAGAGAAAGACAGCTGAACTGATCAGACAATCGACGAAGAATAAAACATAATGAGAGTTTAGCAATGGCTACAAATCGGAACCAGAGAATTTGGCTTTTCGATGACCACCGAAAAAATAGCAAAGATTCTACTCAATTAATCAGTTCAACTCATTTCATCAACGATCGAAACTGAACACCAACAATAATGATGATCATAATAACAAAAGTACACAAATATTCAAATAACGTAACAACGATGCCTCCTATCAACAACTTCAATCTACATAAACATTATCTATTCACTACTAATCGAAATAAAGACTGAATTATCATTATTCTATCGCCAATAACAACAAAAATTCATGCCCATCGCCCTCATTCCGGTTTTACAGAATGCGTTCGAATAATCCAACTTCCTCCCATTACCCATCAACACCAATAACCCATCTAACGAACATTTCGAAATGAAAAATAAATTTATGCGAACTGTTTTATTATAAAACAGTAAATTAATAGACAAATTACTGAATACATTAAATGAACTGTTGAACTATCAAAAATTTCCACTGAAGCGATTCAAAAAATTCTCATTATCATCGAAAATCATCCCATTTTCATCATGAAATTTTCCAATCGCTATGGTACTTCGACTGGAAATCTTCCAAAAATACACGTCTCATTGCCACTGAAATTTTTCAAAACCGTTGAAAATTCCTAAAATATTTCTCATAGCCACTAAAATCTGATATCTTTAACAAATATTCGGCACAAATCAATTTTCTTGTCCTTTCAGCAGCTCATCCACTTCTGATATCCGTCCATGTCTAATTCAATCGGATGATCACCAATGATAATCATATTCACTTCCTTAATATTTCAGTACTGTTCCGATTCAATCAAAGCCAACCATTCCTCAATGGTCACATCCCATCACGACTCCCTCCCTATGCAAACACCTCATCAAAACAATAACGCATTCCAAAAAAGCTGAATTTTGGAGCCAATCAACTCCTCAAAATCTTCCAGCGAGAATCTATTTGATACGATAATAAAGTCTCAACGCATTACTCTCAGCAAAGATCATTACGCTTAACAATGTAATATTTAACACCAATAACAATAAGTTTCTCTTGTTAACTATACACCTGTGAAAGTTACAGATTGTCATACAAAATTCTTATTATTCACCATAACTAAAAAATTGCAATTAATCAATCGCAATCAAGTTTCTTCCAATTCATTAACTATCATATCAAATTTCAAATTAAATTAACCTAAAATCCACACACATTTAAAATATTTCAAATATTCATTCATTTTCGCTCCTCACTAAAACGTGAACCCAATAATGGAATATGCGAATGACCAAATGATGATTACAATATAGATTACATTAATTGATAAACTGGTATGCTGATCACGAGGAATGGCAATCAAAGCCAAAAGTAACAATGTAGAACACCTGACGTGCAGCAAACATGAATGTGTATGATCATCTGAATTGCACTCATCGAGTTATCCACTTTTTCACTCATCATTAAGTTATCAGAAAGCAACAATGAACTCGATACTGATTATTTCTATCATTATCATTAGTATCATTCAGCAATAATAGAACTAACAATAACAATGTCTACATTAATAATATCAATGAATAATTCGAGTAATCGAATCAATATTCACAACGGAGAATAATCACCCATCCATTTCATGAGCTGAATGATAGTAATAGTCTTTCAGTAATGTTAACGAGTCTTTTATTATTCGACTGTGACATTAATCTCAACACAATGCACTCAGTATTATTCAAAAACATAAAGCCATAACATTAAAACGCAATCATTTTCACACATATACATACAATATCAAGTTTTGATGAATATATCCTCCGTCTAACACCCACAACATGGTGTAATGACATTATAACCCAGTATACATGATCCTCATCAGAATGTCATAAAACAAATATTAAAAACAAGTAATAACGATAATAATAATAATATAAATTACAACTATAGATTCAAATAATATCACGTTTCCTGTAAACTTTTCAGTCGAGAGCAATTTAATCTATGCCCACTTTGAAATGAATGACCACGCAAAGTGCAGGTCGCATTGTTACGAGGTAGTTGCTCAAATGAATTTTTTCATTCGACTTGAATTTTCAACGGGAATCAATAAAGTCCAAAGTAACATAACCCAACGAAATCACTTTCTAACGGTTCCTTGGATTCAACAAATTGAACAACCCAAAATCATCACTGTTTTGAATCACAATAATTCATATTTCAAAAATGTAATACAATCACGAGATATAAAAATATATATCAGTTACCAAAACAATGCACCTCTATTTTACAACAATAACGCATCTATGTATGACTAGTGCAGATCAGATAGTAGTACATTTCATGCTATCAGCATCTTTCACCTCATTCCAAACGCCTTGAGTAAATTCGCGATCGGTCATAACTAATATCTGCATGTGACTACGACTTAATGACTAGTGAGATCAACGCAATGGCACAGACGTATTCCACTTNTCATAACTAGTATCACCATGTGACTACGACTTAATGACTAGTGAGATCAACGCAATGGCACAGACGTATTCCACTTACCTACCTTCTCGAGATTTATGAGGGATTCTATTCTCGATGGAACTGAAACATAACTATTACGACACAAGAGTGATTAGTTAACATGTAGAACATCCCAAATGAATTATACACTCATCACTTCTTCACTTACTTTCTCCACAAACATCATCTAAAAAAATATCTTCGATGGTGATAAACAAAAACAAATATTAATCCAGAAGAATTACTCACCCATAAACAATGCTGTATTATCTGTGATGCAATTTCCTTGACCGGTTGCTGAACATTAATTTTCACGACTGCTGATGGACTAACGGGAAAATTCTCTTTCCTTGAGATCAGAATCACTTTCGACTGTTTTGATATAATCTTAGTCATCTCTGTCACTGCTTTCTGTGAATCATTACTGTACAATTGAGGCGAACTGAAATGCAGATGGAACAGCTTTCCTGAGGATACAAACACACACTCATTCAGGATATCACGCATTTTCATCAAAGTGATATTTTTAGTGATCTTTATTTTATTTTAATTTTAAATGATATTTTTTATTTTAGTGATATGGAACACACGTTTTTTAGTGATATTTTTTATTTTGTGATATATTTTTTTTAAGGAGCTCATACACAAACGAATACCCACCCACCTGTAATCATCGAGCTTTGGCGCAAAGAAAATGTAAACATGCACAGAGCCGTTCGCTAAGTCTGCCAGTTGGTTGTACTGTATCACTGCACTAAAATGATGCATAATGAGCAAAACAACAAAAACAATCACAATTCGAAATGATGACAACGCCGCATGACACAGCTAACAATGATAGGCAAAACAACTGTAATCACCACATCAAAAACAATGATGATAAAGCAATCAAAGATAGTGAATAATCGACTGAATGACCTCAACTGATTCGGATTCGGTGAGACAATACTCACTTTCGTGAGCTCGTTCAACAAATCCAAACAATCACCGGAATTATTCGTAAATTTTGTGAAATTTGTTCCTTGTTCACCGCCAGCGTATGTTTCAAGCGAAAACACGTTTCGATCACCATAGAATCGAGCCAATAAAGGCATTATTGCCTTATAAACAAAATCATTCTACAAATTACAAATTAAATCATCTATCTTCAACGGTGCACTGATGAAAACTCCATTTTGGATAGCAAAACACTCAAATATGCAGACATTAAACTCCTTTCCAAACACAACGATAAGTTATTACCATCAGATTCAGCATTCAGGCTCAATTAACGCTAACCAACTGATCAACTCAACTCCGAAATTTTAGAACTTCAAATAACCCCAACAAAGTGAAAGAAAATCGCACTCGATAAAAAATCCTCTGTTGTGGATAACCGACGTTGAAGGCGATTGTGATTTGTAAACTCCTCATTGGACGTTCACCCGTATCATTATCTGAAGTACTTCCAAACATCACATGATTAACTGTGGTTCATGAACCCTCTGGGGGACCGACACGACATGGCGAGGAGTTAGAGAGAGGTGAGATGAGAGGGGTGAGAGGGGGTGAGCGAATGGTGCGGGAGGGTGTGCGAGGTAAGGTAGGTGCTAAAGGCGCATTCTAAAATTTTCTACAGGGTCCACGGAGCAAAAAGAGGTTGATAGCCACTGGATTAGAATAACAGTAACCTGGCAAAATCACATATTCCACTAAAACAACCGCCACAGCAGTCACAATTCCAATGGCCAACAAGATCATGAGCAATGACACGCACTTCGCAAGAGCATCAATCCTATCATCAGCAGTGCTTTCCGGAGTCTCCTCAGATATCTGCTGAAGAGAGTGAGTGCCGTTCTCGCAAGTGGAGCCAATCCTCGGATTGGTTCTCTGTCCCAAAGAAGTCAGTGAAGACTTGGTTTCACCAGTTTGTGTTATCGTACTCCCAGGTGTTCTGTAGATTCGAGGTGCTTGGTTATTATTGTAAATACCTGAAATACAGATTGCGTTCAAATGCTTTCATCTCTTAATCAATGATACATCGAAAAACCAAACAAAAAAAANAAAAAAAATTCCCGATCCGACAAAATTTATTCAACATGAAAATCAGAATAAGAATCCAGTTATATGCAATAACAAATCATTGAAAATCCCAAAATCCAAATGTTCAAACGATAAATCTCAAATCATCTGCTAACGATAAGCCTGAATATCTCAAGCAAGCGAGTCTCAAATCGCAAACAAACTCGCCTCCAATCTCAGTTTCAAACCTCACCAGTAATTCCGTAAGTTCGACCATTCAGTGCATTCAACGGCGTTGCTCTTGTCAGAAAATTATAATCGATACGATTGTAGCGTTCGATTCCATGCAAGTCTTCGGCACTCAACGATGACCGATGCGTTTTCGAGGTGGTCGACTGAGACAAATCCATCAGTGTTGCTGTCAGCGAATTAATATGCTCTTATTGTTCATTTGGCATGATTAAAACCGCATTAAAAATACCACCATAACGATCATAACAATAGCAATAATAACGATGACATGATAAAAATAACAGCGATAATATAACGTCACATCATTATTTACAATCTATGCATACATAAACTTTCTCAGAAACTGCATATCACATCGACAGTGACAATAATACTGATAGCATAGCACAACAAAGTCAGGAAGACTGCAACTTGCATGGCACTATTGCATGAATCATCCAGTAATCGCGCAAGACGTAATCACTAAATGAGGTGTGCTCATACACTGCAATTTTCCATTCACATTTCACAATCACAACGCGTCTAAGTAAACGAACACAAACCCAAGTACACGACAATAACTAGAATGCATAGGGATATTGATGAAATTAATAGCATTATCAATTGCGATAATAATCAAAATCAGAAAAAATTTGAGTGGAAATAACAATAACGGCAAACAATCAACCCAAAGTGCACCAAACAAATGATAACATTAAGAAATATTGATAAGATCACCATATTCAACCCAGTCTGTGTCTCATATCAATGTGATAATTATATTCCTTCATTCATATGAGCATAAATACTTACAGTCACATATAACGTTTCAAAAAAATATCTTAATAAGCATCGTTTCCTTTCGATTCTTTTCATATATGTAATTATACTCAGCAATTCTCTCTGATCAAGCTCATACTGAATGAAAATAATGACAACAATTAAAACAACGTCAATATCAACAATGACAGTAAAAGTAATGATAATCAACTCAATTTCAATAAATTATCACATAACCACGAATGTTTCGAAATGATTTCTACTCGAAACCGAAGACAAAGGTAACAATAATAATAAATGCAATATCAACGACACCACTAATAACAACAGATAAGTAATAATTATTACAATAACACATCAAAATTAAACACTAATAAAGACAAAAAGCTATCCCTGTACAATAAAAAGAACAACAATAAAATCGCTATTACAAATTGAGTATAATACGCTCAATAACAGCACTGTCCATCTTGATATGTAACTCAGCAATCAGCTCATTCAATTTGTTCGTTATTTCCGTTGTATCATGCGTTAATATATCTGACTTCGAACACATCAGAATCACGTTGTCGCCTTCCATTCTTATAGCGAAGCAATTCTTGAAATGTTGTTTAAACAACCTCAACACCTAAAACCAATATTAATAACAAAACATCATACCAATAAAAATAACGAAGTAATATACCAATAAAATATATATTTTATAAAGAAATCCTTGTTAAATTTGCAAGTACAAGTTCAATCTGAAATATTTGAGGAAGCGCAGAGCAAAGCAAGTAATCATAACCATAATAAAAGCAACAACAAATCGAACTACTGCCAAGTCAAATTGAAATATAAAGCGAAATGCACCCATTCTCGACAATCAAAAGACATGACATGACCAGTTCAGTCAAAGCCAACAACAAAAAACAAGTCCACTACTCACATTTGCAATCATCTTATCCGCTGGCTGCATCGTCATTATGTTCACTACCACTGTGCCTGTAAAATGAGACTATCCAATTTCTTTCATATTTCTATCTCAATATTATTCCGGCCATCCACTCTCACAAACTATTACACAGAACATCACTCTTGTATCCATCAATAATCTATAACAATCAATAATCTACGTTTACTCACTAAACTCTGCAAAATTTCACTCGAAAACAGCGCACTTTCCGCCAAATGTCGCAAAATTCAAAGTTCGCACTCGAAAGTTTGAAAAAAAAANAAAAAAAAATTCAAAAAAAAATACCCCGATCTTTCAACACTCGAAGTGATATCTTTTCGATGAGAGCCTCATCGAGGAATTCGGGTGAAGGACACGCTAACGGTTGGCTCAAAGAACATGCGTCTATGATTATCGCGTCAAATTGTTCTTCTGAAATTCAGCATCATCACATTCATTTCACCATTATTAGTAGTACTACGCTAATGTCACAATCACACAAAAAGCTGACATATCCTTAAAATATCAGAAAGGCACTTAACCAGTTTGCATTATATACCGAACGCCGTTCATGATGATCAACTGATAATTCGGCTGTTTATCAACTCTAAACCATTTCTTTGCCAATCCCACCACTGCCGGCTCCAACTCAACACCGATCACTTCAGCCTGGAAGATTCCTTTCATATCTTTAAAACTAGGGGTGTTAAGTTGCACTCTGAATAACGAAAACAAAAAATCCGATGCATATCAACTTCAGATGGTAGTTGTCTAATCGATACTTCATTAATGATATCATTACCTTCTTGACTTGACATTACCTATCAAATTATTGAAACATTATTCAGAAAGCAGAACCAAGCAACGAGAAGAAGGTATTTAAAATCAGCAAAATAAAAAAAATAGTATTTAAAAATAACCCATTAAAAACGAACAGATGGGAAACTCCTTGCCAAGAACACATCAATAGTGGCTGCTCCAACACCAACACACAAAATTTTTGCCTTCTGAGTCGTTCGTCGCCTTAAATCCAAAGATGACGTTAAAAGTGGTGCTATTGCCATCACGTTCGTGTACGACATCAGCAAGTTATCATGGTCCACCAGCCATATTCGTGTATCTGATATACTCACATTTGCGCCTGAAATTCAATTCTCATATCTTCCAGGTCAAAAATAGGAATCAAGGAAAACATAAATTAGCAATGGATCAATCAAAATCAACCTAATGAGCAGATTCGTTGCATTTTATCTCTGATGCTTCAGAGTTGTTAAAGGCAAATAGGTCATAATTCGATCGTGTTTAAGCAAAAAACCCCTTCAAAACCAGTACGAAACATCCATGTCTTCTCATAACCAGAACTGTCTCATGTATGAAAAGTGAAAAACAGCAGAGCATGAGTCGAACCCTCAGGAGGCATGAGCTGCACTGCTGCTTCAACGGTATCCTCTGATCCTTCGATCATCAAGTGCCGAATAGCCTTATTTCTGAAACACAAATATGATCATTCTTGAATTCTTTTCAGCACGAATTTACGGAATGCGCACTCATAAGAACCAAATTTTTTTCATAGAAAATTAATTTTTCGCAAAATTTGCAGTACTTTCCATTCAAATTTTCCACTGAAACAATCTCCGAACTGAACGTAAAATTCAACTCCTTTAAGAGATTAAAAATATAATCAATACGTGAGAGCCAATAACAGGTAATCATAAAAACATGCCTACAATGTAAATTATAATTAATGTATCAGCAGTTACGTCTCCAACGAAAAGTGTCAATCAGCAGTGATAACATAAAAGAGTTCTAGCAATAATAGTAGTAATAAGTATAATAATAGCGAATCGTTTGACCTACGTTTGAAAATTAATCCTGTCCATAACAATGAAGCAGATATTCGTTCGAGTTGAGCATTTTTTCTCCAGTACGACAAATGATGCATCCAAATTGCTGAGTATACCATAGTTCTGATCATCTATAACTACCGGCCAATCTGCTGATATCCAATAGAACACCTAAAATACATTTCATCATTTCAACTTCAAATGATAAACTTCACTGTAATCATTACCGATTTAACAGAATCATTATTTTTGTTTTTTTCCGGTACATAAATTAATATTTTTTTGATAAATTGTTATTACTAGGCTTGTTTTTAAGTTAACATTGTCACGATCGTCAGTACTATCTGTCACTGTTTTTATTCTCACTATAACTATTACTATGTCATCATTATTGACGAAAACAGCCGAACATTATAAAAACTAAACCTAGAACCATAAGATGCTAGCAAAAAATTAAAATCATAAGACTGAAACTAATAACCATTGTAGCCATGGCACATGATACAACAAGAAGGAAGAACTTCTTGAATAATTTATTAGACCGTGACATATTATTAAGACTGATCTGAAAGGATGATCATC